CAGTCTACTTGTGGAGGATGTCACTTCACTGGCTCATGTTGGTATTATCATTGCGCTCTTCCTGGCTGAGGCAGATCAGTCACTGGCCACTGGACGGCAGGCAGCTCATGGCATCTCACAGCAGCCCACTGCAGCAGGGGCTGTAGCCTACGCCGTCGCCAGCCACTCACGGCAGCCCAGCTCCAGGTCGAGCTGTTGTTCATCTTAGCTGTAGAGGGTGCAGCGTCACTGGCCCACATGTGGGAATCGGATCTGCAGCCCTGTTGTTCAGAACTCACTGCACTTACCAACTGAGCCACTCGGCCGGCCTCTAAAGGTTGGTTTTGATTGGAGGAGGGGTTATACATTCTAATTAATCCTTGAAGCAAATCAGAACATCAAAGTTTTAGTTGTAGCAGACTACTAGATGCTCCCCCCAATATCTGTCCTCTCCATCTTCTATAGTCATAGGATTTGTAGCTGGTATGAATCCCAGGCTCCCTTATAAGCCAGGTGTGACCGACTAACTTCTGGTGAGGGGATGCAGACAGACGTGACATATCCATCGTCTGCCCTGTGTCCCTAAAGAGAAGGCACACGACGCCCTTCCCTCCCCTGTTGCCTTCCCTGTCTGCGGGCTGAACCGTGGGTAAGGATGTGGGTACAGGTGAGGGACCAGGAAGACAGGCTCCCGGGCTCCAAGATTCTGGTGTTGACTGCTCACCTACAGTTAGAGAAATAAACCGTCTTGGTTTAGTCATACTTATATTATCTGTCCTAGAGGTTGAATGTACCTTCTAAGAAGGGCAAGATACACTTGTTACAAAGGAAGGCTGTGCAACTCCCAGTAATTGACACAGTTTGGTAAGTTGTGGCTAGAGGCCGAGTCAGGCCTGCCATTCCTTTTTGCAAACAAAGTCTTACTGAAACAGCTGTGTTCATTCATGTGTAGGTTGTCTTAGGTCGCTTCCATACTATGTAACTTCAGAATCGAGGCATTGTGACAGAGACCGTATGGCCTGCAGAGCCTAAAACATTATCTGGGCTAAAGCAGAAAAATTGCCCCTGCTGTTAGAGGAAAAGAAAAAGAAAACCTGGTCACCCGGTACAAGATAGGGAAGAGGGAGAAACAGCAGCAAATGGGAAACCACAAAAAAAAGGACTTTAAAACAAGAAGTCAGGAATGTGACTAACTATGTCGGTGGTAAAAACAATGAGACTAGCTAACTGCTTGTTCTTCCTTCTTGCTGTAGGAGATGGACTGACTGGATGGATGACTGCAAAATCACGTCTGGCCAAAGCTTGATACAGTGACAGTAGTGTAGTTTTCCCCAGTGAAGATGGAGCCACGGCCATTTAACAAAGTGCTTAGACAGGCACAAGATGGCAGCTATTGATTTCTCACTATCTAAAGGTGATGTTTGAAGCTGGTAACCCATCTAGAAATCTCTACATTGATATACTTGAATGAAAATGTCCGCTTGCACATATCTGAATGAGCTTTACACCATCTTCTGACTCCATCTACATACTGTGCCTTTATCTTATTTCAGCTATATAGGTCCCCACTTGAAAATTAAATTTAAAAGCAGATTGTAAGGCAGAAGAAAAAAACTGGACTATTTATTGAAGTGCAACCTTGAGGCACAGTCTCACAGCAGACAGTATCGTATGGAGAGCAAGGAATGCAGACTCCTTAAACATGAAAAATTCCTCTCAGAATAGGGAACATCTTCATACTAAGGAAGTAACAGTCTTCCTGTTTAAAACCCAGATGGCACAGGAGGTTTTAGACTCAAGTTCTGTCCTCAAACAGTGGAAAAATCAGGCCTCAGGATGTGTTTGGTTCTTTTCAACTTGCTTTCCTTTTATTAAGAAGCAGGGAAAACCGTGGGCAGTTCAAAGGTGTAGAGGTGACTCAAGGGCCCCTGTCACCCAGTTTCCAAACTCAGGTCACTAAAGGCATCTTTTCTCTTTGCAAGAAGGAGAAAACTTTGAGCTGGTGGATAAAAACTTTGAGCTGGTGAATAAAAACTTTCTGTACCAGAAGCTGCTGAGTACATCCTGTGGGGAATGTCTATCTTCTGTTTTCCTTTTCCAGCTGTACGTAAGAGGCTGCATCAGGAGAGAACGGGGGTTTTTGAGCATAAAAAGTGAAAAACAGACTTAAAAATTCAACAGTTAAGTGTTTGCCTCTCCTAGACATACAGTCAGAATCTAAGGACTAACAAAGTCAAATCCCTTAGATAGTGCCCCAATAAACCAGGGAGCGCTTACATTTAGAAATGGGGCCTGCGTCTGTTATTCTCTGGGATGCTGGGTTTGCATCCCACAGATTTCCTTTACTCTGCAGTAACCCTTGTTAGTGTGAATTCTGGAGAAGCGTATGAACAAGAGTAATGAAGCACTAATAAACATTTCCTTGTCACCAAAAACTTTTCTGTTCCATCAAGGTTTAAATTTATCAGAAAAGAAAAATGACATCATTCAACATTAACTGCATGCCACACTAGGGCTGGGTCACCATCTGGTCACTGCAGTGTTGTGAATATTAAAAGCAGATAGAGGGCCGGCCGAGTGGCTCAGTTGGTTAAGAGCTCACTCAAGAGTTTGAGCTCTGAGCAACAGGGTCCCCGGTTTGATTCACAGCCCGAGCTGAGCTGCCAACAGGTGGCAGGATGGCTCAGCTAAAACAAACAAACAAAAAAAGCAGATACAAGTTGCCATGTAAGACCATCATTTGGAAATAAATTTTCCAGTAATGCCATTACTGTTTTGGAGTGGGCTTTTTAAGGATTTGTATCACAGTGGAAACAAGTTGAGTCACATCCACATCCACACACTCGTCCATACATGAATCAGTGAGCACAGGTTCTCACTAGGGGAAATATTTTCTTCCAGGAGCAGTCTAAAAAATGTAAGTAGTCAACTCTAAACTAATGGAAGAGAAAGCTCTAAAAACAGCAAACAATCCCGGACTATCTAATAACTCAGTCTTTCACAGCATCTTTCCACTGTTTTGCTTAAATGAATACATTAGGCCACTATTTTAATGCAGTTTATACACATTTTGGTGTAAATTTTTCCAGAGCAAGTCAGATATGCTTTCTTGGTCATAAAGCAAGATTGTCACAAGCCAGCATTACAAAAAGATTCTACTGTGTCGAAGTGTTCCAATCTTGAGCACATCCCAGCCAGGGTAACTCAGCAATACCTGGAATTGGTGGCTTCTACACTAGTAACATAATCCTTGGGGATACAGTTGAGAAGTGACTTTTTTTCAAAAGAATGTTTCATCCTGTTTTTTTAATATTTGAATTAAGTGATGGAAAGTTCTTGGTTAAAAAAGAAAGCTTTTTTTCCAAAAGACGCGTGGCATATCTGAAAGTCAGGCGGAATATTTGGTGTATTCAGAACGCCAAGTCACTCCTGACCTCACCTCTTGGGACCCAGCAGTAATTGCTGAGATGCTCGGAATTAAAGGGTCACAGCTCTTATTTTCCAACATTCCCATTAGCTGTGCTGACTGGGAACTTAAATATGGAGTGTCCTTTGGATGTTATCATATTTTCAGAACCTGAAGTCAAACCAAAATAAGCGTGTACTTCCAAAGACTGATTATCTGAAATGATCCCTCCTAAGTCATGGACATCAGTCAAGGGCATATAAATGAAAGATGAGTCCATTGTTATCTTTAAATCTCATTTTATTAAACCTCCAATGTGTTCTCCCAACACATCACTTCTAACAAAGCACAATTCATAGATTGGGGTTTAGTCCCCTTCCCCGATGAAGAATAGGTTGGCCAAATGCAGGAAATAGGAAGGAAAAGGAGGGGCCAGAATAACCCATAATAATAAACGGAGCAAATCAGAGCTGTAGTGAGGAAAGCGAATGGCATTTCATACGAAAAAGGAAATACATGGTGCTTAAGTGAAATGCTTATGTTAATTATAAAAAATCAGTTCATCCAGTAATTCTGAGGTGATGAGAGCATTAGAACCAATAATAAATTTGACTCAGTCAAGGAATGAAGTAGGTAGAAAGAGGCACTTTTAATCCAAAGGAAGAAAGAAATGGAGGACATAGCAAAAATACAGGTCTAGGGAAAAAAATAAATCCTGTCTTCCTTCAAGGACCAATCGATACAACAATTATAGAAATCATCAGCCAAGTTCTTCCAGACTGTTTAACAGGGAAGATTGTACTTCAACTTTTCCTTGGGGAAGAAGGCAACATCCTAGTAAAAACTTGTTCTAAATAGTACATTAATAAACCAATTTCGCCTAGCAGTGCAAAGAACACACAGAGGTGAGCAATGTCACTATAAAATTTCCCTTTAGGAGCAGTGAGAACAGGGCAAGAATCACCTTGAGTCCGCAGCTACTTTTTAACTTATTAAAGGCCTTGCAGATATACCTGAGAACAGTGCCAGCCTGAGCTTACCGTGGAGCAGCTGCCTGGCTAGGGCTCTTGTAAACAGTTCACACGGGAGGAACTTGACGACAAACTCGGTAGAATTAGTCTTGTATAAAGAAAAGGGGAGACGGGACGTACTAATATAGTAACAATGATTTCCAACTCTCCATGAAACACTGTATATGAGGTAAATAAAACAGTTTCAAGAAATGAGTATTCTGTAGACAGGGCCACTGTTAACTACATCCCTGTGGACTAGAATAGAAGGTTTTTCACTGGGCAGTCACCTGTCTGCTGAGCAAGAGGTGCCTCTGACTGTTCCTGGCCAACCCTCCTAATTGAGTTGGTGACCAAATTGAGTGTTGATGGGCCAAGCAATGCCTAGAGGTAGCCCCTACTTCCCTCTACAACCTATGGCACAGGCAGGGGAGCAGGAACAAAAGGGAACAGACTAGGAAAAAGGGGAAGAAGAGTAAAAAGTATTGTGTTGCCTTCAGATCAGTGGTGATTCCTGTCAGAGTGCCTATCATGTTTAATAGCAGGAATATTTAACAACTAAGAAAGCTAAGGAAAGATCTATGCCAGTGACAACTGCTCATTAACTATAAGGCATCTCATTCAGTGTTTAAAGGGAAAACATCCGGGATGATTAGAAAGTGACCAATGCTGGACATAATAACCTCTTCCAGTTATGTCCCTGGTAGAACACGCTCAGCTCGGACCAGCCTACGTGGTGCCTCTGCACATGTCAGTAAAGGCTCTCTTCTCCCAGAGCACACTGTGTGGTGAGCACAGGCTGCCCAGCTGTGTGCAGAGAACCTGCCAACACTGCTTTGCAGGGTCACAAAAATTGGTAAAAACTGGAAAAAGCATTAGAAACATGGAGTCAGAAAAATTCAAATCATTGCCTTGCCTCTCATGCTACGAGACTTTGGAAAAGTTCCCAAACTGATTGGTTTCCTTAATCTGCAAAGTGGGAATAACAGGCATATGAACAGCTATTAGAACTGTGAGGGTAAGAAAGGTAAGAGGACACTAGAACAATTTCGGGCAATTTGCAAAAGCTCAATTACTACTTGCTAAAGTTATAATTACCCACACTTCTTTTAGGAAAAGGATATTCTAATATGGAAAAAATATGTACCCTAAAGTCAAACCCATCTCACAGCTGAAGCTGAAGGGACGAATGGGTGTAACAGATTAACTACTAACTGCACCTCTTGGTCCTCCAGAGAAGAAACTTTCAGGCACCAAGTGTGTTGCTGAGACTTGAAGTGAAATGATGTTTGTGAGAGAATTGATTCAGGGGCTAGAAGCTGTTTTTATAAAGTGATCAGATAGTCTGCAGGCTCTCTTGGTGAAATATCACCTCAATTTTTTTGAAAAAGAAGCATGTGTAAAATCATATAAGAAACTAAGAAAAGGGGGGAAAAGTCTTATCTATAATACTTTTTATTTCTATAAAACACTCCAAATTTTTAAAATTCTATGTGATGACATTTGTCCACATGTCATATACCTTTTAAGGGAAAAGGCAAGGAGGACGCATTACTTTTATATTGGAATTATAGCACAAAGACAGGAAATTAATTTCCACAGAAAATTAATGGCAGCTATGGTTGCAAGTGGCTGCATTTGGTACAAGATAGGACATGGGTGAAAGGAGGCAGCAAGGATGGCTGGGTGGTGACTGTGAACCAGATGGTCAAGAGCTGTTTTTCTTCATCTGGAGAGCTTTCTAGAGGGCAGTGATGGTCATGAGTTCCCTCTAAGGCACTCTGTGATACTGATTTCTCTGGGCCCAGAATTACCTTTTATTACAGACAAGATAAATTAGCATTCTTTAATTCTGGTATTTTTCTCAAGAAACCACTTTTTTTTGCTAAGCAATCAGAAATCATCACGTAAATTCAGTAGAGCAGTTAAGAGTTCTAGACTTACTAACAAAAACTTTTTCTCAATAGTTCAAAGACGAGGAAAGATAAACGGTGATATTCTTAATTCTGCATTTGAGGTCCATAAACAAGTTGGATTTATTCTGAATCTTCCCTTTACCTTTGATTTAGATGTTATGTAAATTAGAGTGGGGGGGGGTGGAGGGGGGGGGGGAAGGAATGACCTCGAGTTACCAACCCCCATCAAAAAAGGTGGGGAGTGAAAACAATTTTCTTTTAAATGTAAAAGCAAAAAATTGGAGCTGCTGTAAGGAGCCGTCTTTATTAGAGTGTTCCCTTCTACTGCCAGTGGCAGAGGATCAAGATGTGAAGAATGGGGACACTGGCACATCCTGTCACTCACACTCCATTTATGATCCATCCATTTACCATTACTCAGCAAAAGGCAACTGGCCAAATCACTGTGGGTTAATGTTCAGCAGATGGGGAAAAAAGCAGCACAAGGCAGTATCAGATCACATGTCTTATCCTTTCCTTTTGTGGAGAATAGACCCAGATATCCTAAGCCACAGATCTACTTTTGGAAGCTCAGAAATGAACCTGGTTTCTGTTAGTGCTTAAATGTGTTCAGCCAGTTAAGTGTCTGAGGATCCAGAGTTTAAAAGTGAACACTGGAAGTTAAATATTTTATTATAAAGGGGAAAAAATCAAGATAACGTATCAGTTTGTTCTTACACTATGCAAACACAAATGTAGCTATTAGAACACAGAGTAATCCAACACAATTGTCAGAGCCCAAGGAGGAAAACACTCCTTACTATACAAACTCCAGCTCCCCCTCACCTCTAGCTATATTAATCAAGGGGCACCAAAACCCTTAAAGACATTACTGCCTAAATGATACACTGAAACTTGGACAGGAAGATACACTGCATGATAAAGCTGGACGGACACACAAACACACTTCATAAATTTTCCTGACCAACTTTTAAATACTGGGTTGTCGGGAAAGTCATGACGCATTTTTGCAACGAAAACCAGAAAAAATACGTCATGACTTTTCCACAACCCAATAGTATTGCTTTAGGGAGAAGATTTAATTTTTAAAAATAAGTTTAAAAAAGAAAGCACATTTAAAACATCAAGCTTTGGTGACCGGGATAGGTAAAGTTAATTTTATTACAAATTTAAAGATCTAAAAAGTAATTTGTTACATTTATTAAGATAAATCTGAGATGACCTGTATTAAGCACATATGTCTTGCATAGTGACACTGTGACCCTCAGGCATAAAAAGACACAGTCCCACCCTCCCTTTAGGGATGGGATCAGCCAGATGAAAGAAAATTATGCCGATTCTCAACTAGCACATACTAACTGATCATTTTGGTTTATCACTGGCATTTGGACAGTGAAGAGTTCAGCGAAGAAGGCTCTGTTTTTGAGCTCTGAAAGCCAAACTAGAATCTTAAAAGTAATAAAAAATTCAAGCTTCTCATCATACTTTTTATTTCAATGATATTTGGGAGACTTTCTGTATTTGATGAGTTATGATTCAACCAGTCTGTAAACCCAAGTATGAAAATCCAGTAAGGACTGCCTAGGTTGACCAGTAAGAAGACTGAGGCCAGGGCACAGACTGACCATCCAGTTACAGAGATGCTGCCAGCCAGCTGCCATACATTTAGCAGGGCAGCCACCCCAACAGCCAGGAGAGCGCAACAGGTCATCTATACCACCCTCCTGCTTCAATCGAGACAAAGCTCTCTAGCCAGTTACCCACCATTACACGCAGGCAGGGAGCTCTAGGTTTCTTATTTTCTATTTATTTTTTTAAAGATTACTAAAGGCAGCATCTTTACAAGGTGAGGCTGTCAGAAGCATCAGGGACCTGACAGATACAGAGCAAGCACTCGCCCGTGGAGCTGGGGAGGAACCTGTGGGTGAAGAGCAGGGCGGTACCTGAGCTGAGGCATGAGGGGAGAGCATCTCACACTACAGGACCAAAATGGGGGGAAGAAAAGAGCCAAAGGAATGGCTACAAAACAGCACGTTCATCAGGAGAGATGGAATTCCAAGGGAAGGACCCAGACAGTAGCTGAGGAGCCCACAGCTAAGTCCTCTTGCCTGGAAATTTCTATCCAAGATTCTTTCAAGTTAAACCTCTCCCTCTAAGCTGTGGCTCTCAATGGAGGGACAATTTTACCCCAAGGGGCATTTGGCAATGTTAGGAGATAGTTTTGGTGGTCATAACTGGGGGAGGGGTGCTACAGGTATTTAGTGGGTGGAGGCCAGGGATGCCACTTAACACCCTCCAGTGCCCCAGACGGTTCCTACAACAAGGACTTCTCAAGACATCACTGATGCCAAGCCCAAGTCACCCTGCACTAGAGGGAGTACTTACTCATAAGATCCTGAACACAACATGAGCCAAGGCCCTTGGAACTTAGACAAACATGAACACCCTCCACCTCAAGCCCCAGTATGTGCATCAATCCACTCACTGCCTGTTGGGCAGAAATCCCTAATTATCCAGGAGTGTTCCACAAATGTCCAATCAGCTGCTGGCGGTTCAAACTCAGGCAATATAACTAATACCTTGTATCCTGTGTCCTCCTCTCTCTTCTGAAAAATCTATTTCTTTCTCAGAGCCAACGTCACCCCAACTGCCACTGCCAGAATGGCGATAGTGGCAGCCCCTCCAAACAACAGTATAGACTTGCCCCCCGACAGCGGGGTAGCCGTTGCTTCTCCAGCAGGGGAGACCCCTTCTGTAAGGCTCTCTTTCTTTATGCTAGGCTCCTCTTCACTCAGCAGTGTTTTTGTGGGTTCCAGCACACGGGTCACCTCCTCCTGTAAGTCAATAGGTTCGATTGTTGCTGCTTTCACCTCTTCTTCACCCAGTTCTACAAACAAAGACGTAGCCGGGCTGACTTTCTCAACTGCAATTATTTCTGTGCCAGGCTCCCTTATCTCCAGCAAGAACGTGGCAGTGGTGTGTGGAAGCGAGGGAGCTGGGGCTTCAGGGAACGCCTCTTGCAGCTCCCTGGTGGGCAAGGCTGCAGACACCACAGCAGCCTCCTCCATACCCTCAGGTATCTCTTCTCTCTCCACATGCACAATGTCAGAATTAGAAGAGTTGTTCTCGCTCTTCTCTCCAGCCCCATTGCTATCTAAGCTTTTGACTTCAGGGTCCATTGTGATCTGCTGCCAGGACTCAGGACCGAGAGACACCGGTAGGCTTTCTGTGTGCCAGCTCTGGCTGGCTGACAGGGAAACAGGTAAGCTCTCTGACTGCCAAGAAGTGGTCACAGTTGGAGACTCTGGAAGACTGACTTGTCCAGAGTTGTCACTGGGCAGGATATAAATGTCATTGCTATCTTCTGCAACGATTCCAGGGAATTCTTCCTCCTCGGACTCAAGATTAAAGACAGTGCCCTAGAAAAGGAGGAGGAGGCGTCAATACAAAGAATGGTAAATGTATCTAATATAAATGTAAGTATGGAAGAAAAATTATTTCCTAAACTGAAGTTTCAGGAATAAATATATTGTTTAAACCTGCATACTTTCTGGATTGAATGCATTTACTTGTAGATCAATGTAGAGGAAGAATTTTTAACAAGATGGTCCTCTGACCAGTTTCCTTGAAACTAAAAAAAAAAAATCAATGTTAATTTATATTCAATTCAATTTCATGCAAAACAGCAGGGAAAACAAAGGCAAGCACCTTGCTCTCAAGGAACTTATGACTTAGTAGGGTACAGAAGCAATGCTTCCCCCTAGTCCAAGTATTATTGAGAGCTCAGGTGGGGGCCCTGACTTCCTTTGATGGAGGCTGGAGAAGGCAGGGAGATGACTGACAGCTTCATGGCAGAACCAGCATCTACACTGACATCCGAAAAAAGGGGAAGGTTTCATGGTGAAAGCCATGTAGAAGGCACAATACCAACAACAGCATGGGAATATGAAAAGGGGACTAGGAAGTAACCCAGGTTAATTGGTGCATGTGAAGAAGAATAGCAAGTTCAGTCAGGGCAGAACTGGGGAGGAGCTTGATACAGAGCTAAGAAATAGGAACTTGATTCAATAGGAAATTATTAGTCAATGAAGTCTTTGAGCTACAAAATGTCCATCAGAGTTCCTCTTTAAAATTACTCTGATAGCAGAGGCAGAATGGAGGAACACCAGAAATGTGGGACTCTTACTTCTCTCTTTAGCAAGAGCCTACACAAAAGTAACACAAACCAATACTGTTGGTCTTCAATTTCACGTGTAACAGTTAAGTTTAATAGAACCTAGGTCTGTGTTAGGCACCAGAGTTATAGGAAAGAATGAGACCCAATTTTTGTTCCTAAAAAGTTAACTGTCTAGATGTGAAGACTGGAATATGAGTAACTCATTTCAACATGACACAGGAAACTTTAAGACAGGTGAATGCACAGGGTGCTAGGGAAACCCAGAGGTTATGACATGATCAGAAAGACATGATGGCGTGTAATGTCAGATCTATAAAAAGTTTTACAAAGAGTCTGGATGACACTCATAAATGCTATAGAGAGTTTGAATAGAATATGTAAAGCAAATTAATTCCGACTTTATTTTGTGATTATGGCCGCTATTTATATGAAATAGACTAATTTTATTCTTAAATCAAGACCAAAACCTTTCTGTGCACACTAAGAGTCTAATATAAATTAGTAGTCCCCTTTAACCATTCCACAAAAACAGGGAGCCAGAAATCACATGCTCATAACAGCAGCATTCTAACTGCCCCACATTCTACCTCAACCCCTGCTTCAGTCTCCTTACGAAGAGGTCCTGGTAGGATCTGAGTGGAGAGGCAAATCAATATGTGCAATATTTGTAGTATAATAAAAAGAAACTGGTTTGAATCCCTGCTCCACCAGGTACCAGCTGTGTGATTTTGAATGCCTTGCTTAACCTTTTAAACTTCAAATTCTTCATAAATGGGAATGACTGACTTTAATAACACTGTTAACAAAAATTAGATATGGTATTTACACTGTTTAGCACTACATCTTGTACATAGTAAGCATTCAATAATTTATGCTATTTTTCATTATTCTTATTGCTGTCATTGTTTTTATTACTATTGTTTTGGCGGTATGGTGATGGGACAAAAAGAACTACTCTAAAATACAATCTAGACGGGAAAATTTAAAAAGTAAAAGCAATTTGAAACAATATCCTTCCTTGGGTAGAGAAGGGAATTAAACTTGACCCTTCTCTCTCATCTCTTCTATTTTATTTTCAATTACAATTGACATTCATTATATTAATTTCAAGTGTACAGCATAGTGGTTAGACATTTACATAAGAAGTGATCCCAGGGCATCTGGCTAGCTCAGGTGGTTAGAGCGCAGGCTCATACAACCAAGGGTGCTGGTTTGATTCCCACCTGGGCCAAGGAGCTGCAACCTCCAAAACTAGACTGAAGACAACTACTTGACTTGGAGTTGATGGGTCCTGGAGAAACACACTGTTCCCCCATTAAAAAATTAAAAAGAGGGCCGGGCGGGTGGCTCGGCTGGTTAAGAGCTCGCTTGGAAACACCAGCTCTGAGCAGCAGGGCTGCAGTTCAGATCCAACATTGAGGGCCAGTGATGCTCGCCCTCTACAGCTAAGATGATGAACAACAGCTCAACCTGGAGCTGGGCTGCTGTGAGTCGCCGGCAACGGCGTAGGCTGCAGCAGGGCTGCAGTGGGCTGCCGTGAGCTACGTGAGTGGCTGGCAGCCAGTGTGAGCAGCTGGTAGCCAGTGTGAGCTACCGGGAGCCACTGTGACCGGCCAACCAATGACCGGCGACCGATTGCCTCACCCGGGAAGAGCACAATGATCATACCAACATGGGCCAGTGAAGCGACGTCCTCCACAACCAGACTGAAGAACAAAACAGCAATTTGTCTACCTGTCTGTTCCCCTTCCCCGATTCCCCAACGCTGTTACCCTCCCCCCAATTTCCCAATAAAATCTTTAAAAAAATAATTAAAAAGAAAAAAACAACAGCAAAAAGAAGTGATCTCCTTAGCCTTTTGAGCTCCTTTTGCTCGGCCCGCTCCAAACTCTTTGGAGTGTATTTTCTCTTCTAATAATGGCCCTTGAGCCATTCTTTACTGCTTGGGTCTGCTTTTGCTACTTTGAAATGCTATTTTTTTTCTTCTAATAAACTGTCCTTTAAAAAAAAAAAAAAGAAAAAAAGAAGTGACCCCCCTGATAAATCTAGTGCCCACCTGGCACGACACACAGTAATTACAATATTATTGACTATATATTCCCTATGCTTTACTTCAGATGACCATTTTCTAACTACCAATTTAATCCCTTCACCTTTTTCACCCAGCCCCTAACTCCCTCCCATCTGGCAACCATCAGTTTGTTTTCTGTATCTATGAGTCTGTTTCTGTTTTGTTTGTTCATTTATATTATTCTTTAGATTCAACATAAGTGAAATCATATGGTATCTGTCTTTGTCTGACTTATTTCACTTAGCATAATACCCTCTAGGTCCATCCATGTTATTGCAAATCATAAGATTCTTTTTTTTTTTGGCTGAGTAATAGACCACTTCTTTACCCAACTGTCTACTGATGGGCACTTAGGTTGCTTCCATATCTTGGCTATTGTAAATAATGCTGCCATGAACATAAGGGTGCATATATCTTTTCAAATTAATGTTTTGGATTTCTTTGGATAAATACCAGAAGTGGAAATGCTGGGTCATAAAGTAGTTCTATTATTAATTTTTTGAGGCACCTCCATACTGATTTCCATAGTGGCTGCCCCACTTTGCAATCCCACCAATAGTGCACAAGAGTTCCCTTTTCTCCGCATCCTCACCAACACTTGTTTGTTGATTTATTGATGGTAGCTATTCTGACAGGTGTAAGGCGATAACTTATTGTGATTTTAATTGGAATTTCTTTGATAATGAGAGATGTGGAGCATCTTTTCACATGTCTATTGGTCACCTTTGGAGAAAAGTACGTTCAGGTCCTCTTCCCATTTTAAAACTTTTAATAGTATTTTTTTGGTTTTGGTGTTAAGTTGTATGAGTTATTTATAAACTTTGAATATTAACCCCTTATCAGATGTATCACTGGAGAATAACTTCTCCCATTTAGTGGGCTGTCTTTTCATTTTGTGGATGGTTTCCTTTGCTGTGCAAAACATCTTTTTAATTTTATTAGTCCCATTTATTTTTTTCTGTTGTTACCCTTGCCCAAGCAGACATATCAACAAAAATATCACTAAGAGTACTCTCAGAGAGTTTACTGCCTATGTTTTCTTCTAGGAGATTTATGATTTCAGGTCCTACGTTTAAGACTAATCCATTTTGAGTTTATTCTTGTATATAGTATAAGAAGGTGGTACAGCTTCATTTTTTTTTGCATGTGTCTGTCCACTTTTCCCAACACCATTTATTGAATAGACTGTCTTTACCCCACTGTATGTTTTTGTCTCCTTCGCCATAGGCGTGGGTTTGTTTCTGGACTCTCTATTCTGTTCCATTGATTGTGTCTGTTTTTACTCTAGTACCATGCTGTTTTGATTACTATACCCTTGTAGTATAATTTGATATCAGGTAGTGTGGTATTTCCAACTTTGTTCTTTTTCAAGATTGCTTTGGCTATTTGGGGTCATTGTGGTTCCATATAAATTTGAGGATTATTTGTTCTAGTTCTGTGGAAAATGCCATTGGTATTTTGATAGGGATTGCACTGACTCTGTACATTGCTGTGGGTAGTGGGGACATTTTCACGATGTTAATTCCTCCTATCCATGAGCATGGTATATGCTTCCATTTATTTGTATGTTCTTCAATTTCTTTTGGAATGTCTTTTAATTTTCTTATAAAGGTACAACAGGTCTTTTACCTCCTTGCTTAAATTTATTCCTAGGTATTTTATTTTATTTCTTTGGTTCAATTTTAAACAAGATTGTTTTCTTAATTTCTTTCTGATAGTTCATTATTTGTGTATAATGATGCAACCAATTTCTTAATATTAATTTTGTAATCTGCTACTTGACTGAATTCATTTGTCAGTTCTAGTAGTTTTTTGGTGGAATCTTTAGGGTTTTCTCTCTATATAGTATCATGTCATTGCAAATAATGACAGTTTAACTTCTTCCTTTCCAATTTGGATTCCTTTTATTTCTTCTTGTCTGATTGCTCTGGCTAGGGCTTTCAATACTATATTGAATAAAAGTGGACATCCTTGTCTTGTTCCTGATCTTAAGGAAAACGTTTTTAGCTCTTCACCATTGAGTACAATATTAGCTGTGCGTTTGTGATGTATGGCCTTTATTATGCTGAGGTATGTTCCCCCTATCCTCACTTTGCTTAGAGTTTTATTATAAATGGATGCTAGAGTCTGCAAATGGTTTTATGCATCTACTGATATGATCATATGATTTT